CAGAGGTTCTGTAATGATGTGTCCTCTTTTGTATTTTCTTTAAAGAAAAAAGTCAATTCTCTCTCAATTTTCTGTTCAAAGTCTTTTTCCTTTAATATCGTATTATTTAAAGTCCATCTAGATCTCCTTTTTTGTCCTTTCCATACAAGTGTTATTGGATTGTGATCTGCCCAAGTGCTTGCTTCTATTTCAATGTCTTGTATGTTAGAAAGCAATTCTGTTAACATCCATATCATATCTATTCTAGACCATGATGCATGTCTATTTGAATAAAAGGTATATTGTTTATTTTCCGCGTTTCTCTCTCTCCATGCATCTTTTAAGTTTATCTCATCTACCATTCGAAAGAAGGATTTTGGCAATGTCTTTCTAGTTTTCTTTGCTGTTTTTTGTGTTTTATAATCCAATTTGTTATTTATTATTCCATTAAAATCTCCCATCAGACAGATATTAGCATAGTCCAGTTCATCTATTTTCTTATGTAATTTCCTGTAAAAATCTTCTTGGTTATCATTTGGAGCATAGATTGCTATTAAAAGTGTCTTTAGATTATTTTCTGTTATCTCCACCATCAAAATCCTTCCATCATCATCTGTATATATTTGTTCCGCAGGGATTGTATCTCTAATGTATAACACCACTCCTCTTTTTTTACAATGTGTTAATGCTGTAAATAATTTCCCTAAATTTTGTTGTTTCAATATATAATCATGTTGTTTTTTAATATGTACTTCTTGTCGGCAGATTATATCAAATTTTAATTTCTCTAATTTATGAAATATTTTTCTTTTTTTAATAGCTGAATTAAGCCCATTTATATTAATTGTAATCAATTTTTTCTCATCCATTTTAGACTTTGTAAGAAGGATTTGTTGCTCTAGTAGATCTTGGTTCTCATTGTTCTCTGGGTACACTACCTACGGCTCCTTCCTCTTTTTCAATTACTGCTGTACATTCCTCTTGAAATTCAATTAACGACTCTTCTTTTCTTGTATCTTCCTCCTTTCCTTTAAAATATTCCAGATAGAATAACTCAGCTTTTTCAACTGTATCAATTCTTTGCCTTTGTTCCTGCCAGGTAAACATGAGACGTTTGGGTATCAACCAACTGTAATTTGTTCCTCTCTTAAGTAACTCTTTGGTCAAGAATAAATATTCTCTTCTTATCTCTCTCACTCTTCTCGGTACCTATTTCAGTAGCACCATTTCTTTATCTTTGTACTTTAGTGTTTTTTCTCTTGCCGCCTGCAGTATTTGTGATTTAATTATTTTCTTAGTAAATCTGATATAACTTCTCTTGGCAGTTTATTTCTCATTGCATATCTTGTATAGACACAAAAAACCTCATCCATTCCATCCATCATTGTCTCTTTAGTTACCTCTAATGCTTCCGCCATGATTTCTGTCATCATTTCAGCAAGGTTTTCACCCTTTTCTTCTTCTATATTTTGAAATCTAAGATAGAATTCTGATCTATCAATTTCCCATCCCAATGATTGCAGAGATCTGCCCATATCTCTTTCCACTTCACTCAATTGGGTATCCATATCTCCAATCTTCTAATCTCTTTGTACATCTTGTTCTTCAATTTTCTTAATTCTGTCCTCGTATTGCATCATCATCTGTTGAATATTTTCAATTTTTTCATCTGTCTTTTCCGTTCTTTGCTTAATATTCTCTGTTCTCTTTTCAATATTATCTGTTTTTACTTGTATCTTTTGAATTCCTTGCATAATCATCTGCAGTGTCACTTCTTTCTCCTTTTCTTGTTGTAACAATCACCTGTATGGATCGTTGTCCTCCAGATGGTGAGGAAGAAGAAGTCGGGATTGAAGAAGCTGAGGCTGGTATTTTTCTGCTCATCTTAAAGTACAATAGAAAAATTGAAAAGAAAAAGCAAGAGCAGCCAATTGCCACTCCAGTAAAAAAATAATAATAATAATAATTAAAAATAAAAGAGGGAAGGGAAAAATCTTCAAGCACTTGAATACCTTAATCCAATTGGTTCCAATTATGTAGGAAAAAAGGAAAAAAAGAAAAAAAATATAAAATGGAAAAAGGATGAAAAAATAAAAAAAATTAAGAAAAGATTTAAAAAGATAGAGATCTGTATATTCCCCTTGCCAAAAAGGTAAAACAAAGCGTGGGGGGGGGGGAGTAGTGTTATTCTTGTATGTCCAAATATAAAAATCTAACTGGGGAAGGGGGCGGGAATAGAGAAAAAAAGGAAAGAGAAAATGCAATTCTGTCAACGAGCAAAGCACTGCCACTATATGTTTGAGGCTCTTTACTAAATCAAAAAACAAAACTTCCAGTTCTCTTTTCAAGGTCTCTTCAATCTTCTTTCTTCAATTTCAAATCCAGACTCCAGCTATCAGTAGTTCCACAGAAGAGCACCTGCAAACAATCTACATGCTCTTCCCACTATCTTTTCAATGAAAAGCACAGAGTCCTTGAATGTAACAGCAAATGTATCAACAAGAAAGAAAGAAAGAAAGAAAGAAAGAAAGAAAGAAAAACAATGTATCCAAGCCTCCAGGTGGCAGCGCTACTTATTTCCCTTTCCCTTGGATACATTTCACTTCCCCTCTAATATTAAAATCAGGAATAATAAAAAGTATAAAGAATCTAAAATTATTAAAAAGAAAAAGCACGGGTTTGTTAAGAACAGATCATGCCAAACCAATCTTACTTCATTCTTCAACACAGTGACTAAATTAGTAGACCAGCAAAATACTGTGGCAGGAATAGCTAACAACCAAGAAGATAGGCTCAAGATCCAGATGGATTTTGACAGACCAGAACACTGGGCCATATCTAACAAAATGAAATTCAGTGTAGAGAAAAGTAGACCACAACCTATTTCTTAGTAAGCTAGAAAAACGTGGAATAGATAGCACCACCACTAGATAGATTCGCAACTGGCTGACAAACCATACTCAACGAATAGTCCCTAATGGGTCTAAGTCTACATGGAGGGAAGTAAGCAGTGGGGTGCCACAAGGTTCTGTCTTAGGCTCAGTACTCTTCAATATCTTCATTAACGACTTAGATGAGGAAATAGAAGGGTAACTTACCAAATCTGCAGATGATATTAAGCTGGCAGGAATAGCTAACAACCAAGAAGATAGGCTCAAGATCCAGATGGATTTTGACAGACCAGAACACTGGGCCATATCTAACAAAATGAAATTCAATGTAGAGAAAAGTAAAGTCCTACACTTAGGCAAGAAAAACCAAAAGTACACATATAGACTGGGTGAAACCAGGCTCAATAGCAGTAACTGTGAGAGGGATCTTGGAGTCTTAGTGGACAACCAGCTAAATATGAGCCAGCAGTGTGCAGCAGCAACCAAAAAAACTAACGCAATCCTAAGTTGTATTAACAGAGGGATACAATCAAGATCAAGGGAGGTACTAATACCACTCTATAAAGCCTAAAACCACACTGAGAGTACTGTATCCAGTTTTGTTCACCACATTAAAGGACTCTGTGCTTTTCATTGAAAAGATAGTGGGAAGAGCATGTAGATTGTTTGCAGGTGCTCTTCTGTGGAACTACTGATAGCTGGAGTCTGGATTTGAAATTGAAGAAAGAAGATTGAAGAGACCTTGAAAAGAGAACTGGAAGTTTTGTTTTTTGATTTAGTAAAGAGCCTCAAACATATAGTGGCAGTGCTTTGCTCGTTGCTTTCTAACATACAAGACATTGAAATAGAAGCAAGCACTTGGGCAGATCACAATCCAATAACACTTGTATGGAAAGGACAAAAAAGGAGATCTAGATGGACTTTAAATAATACGATATTAAAGGAAAAAGACTTTGAACAGAAAATTGAGAGATAATTGACTTTTTTCTTTAAAGAAAATACAAAAGAGGACACATCATTACAGAACCTCTGGGACGCGATGAAGGCTTATACAAGAGGTTTGATAATGATACAAGGAAAATAAATATAAAACAGTTTTGTTCACCACGTTATAAAAAAGATGTTGAGACTCTAGAAAAAGTACAGAGAAGAGCAACCAGGATGACTAGGGCACTGGAGGCTAAAACATACAATGAAGGGTTGCAGGAACTGGACTTGGCTAGTCTAGTAAAGAGAAGGACCAGGGGAGACATGATAGCAGTCTTCCAATATTTGAGGGGCTGCCACAGGGAGGAAGGGGTCAAGCTATTTTCTAAAGCGCCTGTAGGGCAGACAAGGAATAATGGATGGAAACTGAACAAGGAGAGATTTAACCTGGAAATAAGGAGAAACTTTCTGACAGTGAGAATAATCAACCCATGGAACAGCTTGCCCTCAGAAGTTGTGGGAGCTCCATCACTTGAGACTTTCAAGAAGAGATTGGACTGCCATTTGTCAGAAATGGTGGACTAGATGGACCCTTCCAACTCTGATTATCTGTTATATGTAAAATATTTAGATATAGTATTGCTTTCCATTATATAAATCCTCCAAAATAAATCATAAGAAAACAGCTTCATACCAAGCAGTGAATGAGATGGACAATGTTCAGGTCATACAAGATCATATCAAAGGACTCCCAAAGCTTTTCAGAATATTTGGTTATTTTGTGTAGATCTTTATTTTGCTAAAATGTTACTTCAATATTTGCTAAAATTTACTATAATACATAATTAATTACTAAACGTCTGTGAAGATTCTCAGTCATTCAGGTCATGGTTGTCCCAAAGGTGCTTTTTCAAGAGGCAACTGGACTTTCTGATTTTTCTTTAAAGACATTTCACTTCTCATCCAAGAAACTTCTTCAGCTCTGAAGAAACTGAAGAAGCTTCTAGGATGAGAAGTGAACCAGAAAGTGCAGTTGCCTCTTGAAAAAGCACCTTTGGGTATAATACAAAAGCTTCAGTGCACTTAAAATTAAATGAGAGCAAAACCTATAAGTAGAACACTGATTTTTCTTTTAGATTTTACATTTCAAATATTTAGTTTTATTTTGCATTCATGATATATTTCTTTATATACTGTTTACAGATAATTACAGACTTTGATATGACGCTAAGTAGGTTTACCCATAATGGCAAAAGATGCCCAACATGTCATAGTGAGTATTATAGATTTGTTGTAAAAAAAATTCATAACTCTCATGAAACTCAAGAACACCTATGACTGAAAACACATAGCAGAAGAAAAAAATCTTGGATTTTCCTTCTGGTGCATTGTTTGGTCTGGTTGTGATATGTTACATTTTTAACTATTGTTTTACATTTATCACCATTACATTCTTCTAGATTCTGTGTAGTGGATTATAGCATAAACAATCCCATTTTAATAAGGACATTGGATTTGTGAAAAAAATGGTAGTCAAAACTGACTTCCTTTCATGAATCTGGGTATTTCATGTAGACTTACACTTGAATGCCATTATATTTACAGCAATTTTAACTAATAATAATGTTAAAGTTAGGGATTTTGCCTTATTTTGAGTGGTTTACAAATATTTTACTGGTAGATGGGTAAATTAAAATTTTGCATTGTTTGATTTGCACATACTCATTTCTCAAACCTTTTTGAACATTTTCCAGATATCATTGACAACTGTAATCTCATTACAGAGGACTGTCGCACAAAGGTAATTTAAAACAGAAGTTCTCCACCACACTGCTTTGAGAGTGAATTTTAGAAGTAATGCTGCTGCTGAGCCTAGGGAGGTCCTGTGCAAGGCCCCGAACAACAGCTGATGGGCATGATCACAATCGTAGCCTAGCGCAGCTGAGGGACCTCAGAGAAGCCAGCCGAATATTGCTGCTGCTTCTTTCTGTGGCTTGTAATTTGCGCTCCAGGAGATGCTCACCACGCAAGACCTAAAGAGGTCTCATGGACAATTAGATGCTAATGAGCTGCGCTTGGTAAGGGAATGGCGTGGGAGGCTCTTTGCCGCTCTCCCAGGCCGCACTCACAATTGTTAATGTCAGCGCTTGTAGGCGCAGCTCTACTGGAGCCCCAGGAGCTGCGCTGTTGTGTTTACTGTATTCCTGCTTTTTATGGTAATCTACAGACTGCTCTAGAGAGCCTAGAGAAATCTAGACACACCAGCTCTAATGTCAAAGAGCTGAGTCAGAAAACTGGGGCTCTCAGCAGAGGCTGGCTTTCTATAGAGGCAGACTCAGTTCGATGACATCAGAGGGTGGACTCATATCCCAGTGCTGGACTCTCTTACAGCGTGTTTAGAAAGGGCGTTCACTAGTAAGTCTACCAACGCCCCTTTGTTTCCTGTATTCATTATCAATTCCTACTGTTATGAAAGGTTGTATTATTTGTTTTGTACTTTGCATAGAATTGTCATGAAGTATAGGTAAATCCTCAATTTAGGCCACTTGTTAAGTAACCATCACTTAGTAATAGAAATTCCAATCCCAATAACCATTGTAAGTCAGAGATTCCCTATGTTAAGACTACTTACTGATTTTTGTGAATATATGCCTTTATATGTTTATACACATCTTAAGTAAATATTGTATATAATGTACTTATTTAAAATACTAGGGATATGTACCAAAACCACAGAAGCAGAATAGAATAGAGCATAGCAGAGCAGAACAGAACAGGAGTTAGAAGGGACCTTGGAAGATCTTCTATTCTAACCCCTGTTCAGGCAGGAAACCTATAACATTTCAGACGAATGGTTAACAGATTGAGAGAGTTGGAAGGGACCTTGTAAGTAATCTAGTCCCTCCCCCGCCCACCCAGGAGACCATATACCATTTCTGACAAATGGCAGTCCAATCTCTTCTTGAAAGTCTCCAGTGATTAAGCTCCCACAACTTCTGAAGGCAAACTGTTTCATTGGTTGAATATTCTCACTGTCAGAAAATTTCTCCTTATTTCTAGGTTAAATCTCTCCTTGATCAGTTTCCATCCATTATTTCTTGTCTGGCCTTCAGGTGCCTTTGAAAATAGCTTCACCCCTTCCTCTCTATGGCAGCCCCTCAAACATTGGAACATTGCTATCATGTCTCCCCTGAGCTTTCTCTTCTCTAGCCATGCCAAGTTCCTGTAACTATTCTTCATATGTTTTAGTCTCCATCCCTAATCATCCTGGTTGCTCTTCTCTGCACTTTTTCTAGAGTCTCAACATCTTTTTTATAATGTAGTGACCAAAACTGGATGTAGTATTCTAGGTGTGGTCTTACTAAGGCTTTATAGAATGATATTAGTACCTCACTAGATCTTGATTGTATCCCCCTGTTAATGCAATTTAGGATTGCATTGGCTTTTTTGGCTGCCACTGTACACTGCTGGTTCATATTTAGCTGGTTGTCCAGGTTAAATCTCCCCTTGTTCAGTTTCCATCCATTATTCCTTGTCTGCCCTACAGGTACTTTAGAAAATAGCTTGACCCCTTCCTCCCTGTGGCAGCCCCTCAAATATTGGAAGACTGCTATCATGTCTCCCCTGGTCCTTCTCTTTACTAGACTAGCCAAGTCCAGTTCCTGCAACCCTTCATTGTATGTTTTAGCCTCCAGTCCCCTAATCATCCTGGTTGCTCTTCTCTGTACTTTTTCTAGAGTCTAAACATCTTTTTTATAATGTGATGAACAAAACTGGATACAGTACTCTCGGTGTGGTTTTAGGCTTTATAGAGTGGTATTAGTACCTCCCTTGATCTTGATTGTATCCCTCTGTTAATACAACTTAGGATTGCATTAGTTTTTTTGGTTGCTGCTGCACACTGCTGGCTCATATTTAGCTGGTTGTCCACTAAGACTCCAAGATCCCTCTCACAGTTACTGCTATTGAGCCTGGTTTCACCCAGTCTATATGTGTACTTTTGGTTTTTCTTGCCTAAGTGTAGGACTTTACTTTTCTCTACATTGAATTTCATTTTGTTAGATAGGGCTGAGTGTTCTGGTCTGTCAAGATCCATCTGGATCTTGAGCCTATCTTCTTGGGTGTTAGCTATTCCTGCCAGCTTAATATCATCTGCAAATTTGGTAAGTTACCCCTTCCCTCATCTAAGTAATTTATGATTTTTTTTTATTTTATTGGTTTTTAAAAACAAACATAAACAAACAAAACATAAAAACATCAAGCTGTCTTCCATAGGTGTACATATAGTGTGCCGGTTGGTTTACAAATTGTTTTGTTTTTCCGTTTCGTAGTTTTCAATTACAATTACATTGCATATGATCTCATATTGTCAATCAAAAATTAAATACCTTAGTATCATTATTAATCAATCATAATTTGCTTATTTTATTTTATAACAGTTCATATTATCATCCTAAATCTATCCTAAAATCATTTTGTAGATATAAGAAAAAAGTACATCTTTATATTTATTATTTTCTAAAAGTCTACGTATTTCATTACTGTATTTTATTGTCTAACCATTGATAGAAGAGATCCCAAATTTTATAAAATTGTTTATCCTCTTGTTCTCCAATTTCAAATGTCAATCTACTCATTTCAGCACATTCCAATATTTTCTTAATGATTTCCTCCTGTGATGGTATTTTCTCAGTTTTCCAGTTTTTAGCAAATACAATTCTAGCCGCTGTTAATACATTTACAATCAGGTATTTCAAGTCTTTACTATATATTTCAGGTAAAATTCCCAATAAAAATAACTCTGGTTTCAAGTCTATATATTTTTTGTCATTTTTTCCAACCACATGTGAATTTTAGTCCAGTATTTTTTAGCATCTGCATAAGTCCACCACATATGGTAATATGAGCCAGGTGTCTGATGATATTTCCAACATTTTTCGGATTTATTCTTGAACATTCTTGCTATTCTTGTCGGGGGGAAATGCCACCTGTAAAACATCTTATACAAATTTTCTTTATATGCTGTTGACATTGTCATTTTATAATTTTGAGACCACAATTTTTCCCATTTCTCTAAATCAATCCCATATCCAAAATTCTTCCCCCAAGCAATCATAGTTTTTTTAACTTGTTCTTCTTCTAGTTTAATTTCTAATAAATATCCGTACAATTTTTTAATCACCTTTTCATCAGTACCTGTCAAAATCTTATCTAAGTCAGTCAGTTTATCATAGAAACCTTCTGTTTTAAAATCTTTATCATACCTTGAATGTACTTGCGCATATGAAAACCAATTCATCTTTATACCTTGTTCCTCTAGATTTTGCATAGATTTACGTTCACCCTTTTCATTCAATATTTCACCATATCTAACTGTTTGTTCCTTTTTGTGTACTATAGGATAAGAAAATGCTTCAATAGTCGATAACCAGACTGGAATTTTCAAATAACATTGTCTTTTAATCTTCTCCCAGTTTAACCACAGATACTCCCATATATAATGTCTTCTAAAATACCCCTGTGTTTTAGTTCCTTTATACCATAAAAAAGCATGCCACCCCAACAACAAATCATGTCCTTCTAATGTCAACAATCTAGTATTTCTTAGTGTTATCCATTCCTTAACCCACATCAAATTTGTAGCTTGTAATACAACTCCCAATTAGGCAAACCAAATCCTCCTCTAATTCTAGCATTGTGCAAAAGTTTTAACTTTATTCTCGCTTTCTTACCTTGCCATATATATTTCAACACAATTTTATTTAAATCTTCAAAGTAGTCTTTTCCAAGCCTAATTGGAATTGTTTGAAACAAATGTAAAATTCTGGGTAGTATATTCATCTTGATTGTTGAAATTCTCCCTAATAGTGACAGTTGTAAATTTTCCCATTTCGCCAAATCTAGCGCTATCTGCTGTTTAAGTTTGATATAATTATTCTCTTTTAATGTACTACATCTTGCTGTCAAATATATCCCCAAGTACTTAATCTTATTCGTGACCTGAATTTTCAATAGGTCTGCCAGTTTTTCCTTTTGTCTTAATAGCATATTCTTTGTCAAGATCTTTGTCTTATCTTTATTTATTTTCAAACCAGCCACCTTTCCATATGTCTCTTTTCTATCAATTTTGATGCTGTTTCTAAAAGGTCTTCTAAGATGAAAACCAGATCATCTGCAAATGCTTGCAACTTAATTTCTTCCTTTTTGATTTTCATTCCTTTTATATTCTTTTCATCTCTAATATTTCTTTCTTTTTTGGTAAATTTTATTTGAGTTTTCACAAAGAGAAAAAAAATACAAATAAAACATCTTTTTTGAAAGTAGCGTAATCCCGGGTTACATTTCTTCGTACAGACACAAATTCAGGTTCATGCTCATTTTTATATTCTATTCCATATCTTATTACTATTTTACATTTTCTCCGTAGCTTCTCCCCTCTTTTAATTTTCTCAATTTTATTTTACTTATCTCATCTTAATTCAAATCATTGTATTCATATTTTTTGTCTGTCCTGTTTTAATTATCTATTATCTTTTCTCATTAAACAAAATTTCTCCTGTAGTTACTGATTAGAGTATGACACCTTTATATCTTTTCCCTAAAGTTATAACACTCAATATAATACATAACTTCCATTCGGATTCTGCTTGGTACATTCTTAAACTACATTCTTAAATTCTTGAAAAAAAAAAAGAAAAAAATTATAAATGTATATAATTAAAACAACATTCCATTCCAATTCAATTCTATCATTAATATTAATATTCATTAAAGTCTTAACATCTTTAACATTACTTTTCA